TTGTACAAACAATAAAGGAGATTTTCAGTTGCTTAGTCTCATCTGACTCTTTGTGACCTGCACAGAAGGCAGCACACCAGGCTTCCCTGTCCATCACCAACTCCCAGAGCTTGCTCAAAATCATGTCCATCGAATTGGTGATGCCATCCAACCATCTCATCCTCTGGTGTCCCCCTTCTCCTCCTGCCCTCAATCTTTCCCAGCATCAGAGTCTTTTCCAATGAGTCAGCACTTTGCATCAGGTGGCGAAAGTATTGGGGCTTTAGCCTCAGCATCAGTCCTTCCAATGAATATTCAGGACTGATTTCCTTTAGGATTGACTGATTGGATCTCCTTGCAGTCCAAGGGACTCTCAAGAGTCTTCTCCAGTGCCACAGTTCAAAAGCATGAATTCTTCAGCACTCATCCTTCTTTATGGTCTAACCCTCATATCCGTACATGACTACTGGAAAAGATAAAAATCATAGCTTTGACTATATGGACCTTTGTCGGCAAAGCAATGTCTTTGCTTTTTAATATGCTATCTAGGTTGGTCATAGCTATTCTTCTAAGAAGAAAGTGTCTTTTAATTTCATGGCTGCAGTCACCATCTTCAGTGATTTGAGAACCCAAGAAAATAAAGTCTGTCACTTTTTCCATTGTTTCCCCATTTATTGCCATGAAATGATGGAACCAGATGCCATGATCTTAGTTTTCTTGAATGTTGAGTTTTAAGCCAGCTTATTCACTCTTTTTTCACCTTCATCAAGAGGCTCCTTAGTTACTCTTCACTTTCTACCATTAGAGTGGTGTCATCTTATATCTTACGTTATTTATATTTCTCTCAGCAATCTCGATTCCAGCTTGTGCTTCATCCAGCCCAGCATTTCGCATGATGTACTCTGCATAGAAGTTAAATAAGCAGGGTGACAATATAGAGCCTTGATGTACTCCCTTCCCAATTTGGAACCAGTCTGTTGTTCCAAGCCCAGTTCTAACTTTTGCTTCTTGACCTGCATAGAGCTTTATCAGGAGGCAAGTAAGGTGGTCTGATATTCCGATTGACAGTTTGCTGTGATCCACAGTCAAAGGCTTTTGCATTGTCAATGAAGCAGATGTTTTTTCTGTAATTCCTTTGAAACTTTCCCTCCCATTTTCTATGATCCAATGGGTGTTGGCAATTTGATCTCTAATTCCTCTGTTTTTTGCGCCCTCCAATAGTCTCTATTTCCCTCAGTCCTATGTAAGTTCTGTAATCAAATCCTGCTGACCACCAAAGTCAAATTCGACTGAGGATTCTCAGCCGATTTGCCAGATCCCCTGCTTGGGAAGTCTGTTGTGGAGCCTAGAACTTTTGTAACAGTGCAAAAATTTCTTTGGTATTATTGTTCTCTAGTTTGTGGATCACCCACCCAGAGGCTCTGTTGTGGGGCTAATGGTGACCTCCTCCAAGAGAACTTATACATCACACTATGCCTCCCAGGACTGCTGCTGCCAGTGCCCTGTCCCCGCAGCAGGCCACTGCTGACCCAAGCTTCCACAGGAGGGCTTCAAACACTCACAGACAGATATGACTCTTGCTTGTGGGGGGGGGGTCACTGCTCCTTTCACTGGATCCTAGTGCCCACAGGGTTTTGTTTATGCCCTCCAAGAGTCTCTGGCAGGTATGAAGCTTGATTTTAAACATGATTGTGCCCCTCCCAGCGTGTTGTGACTGCTTCTCCTTTGTCCTTGGATGTGGAGTATCTTTTTTTGGTGGGTTCCAACAGCTTCCTGTCGATGGTTGTTCGGCAGTTAGTTCTGATTTTGGTGTTCTTGCAGGAGAAGATGAGCACCGCCCTTCTACTCTGCCATCTTGCCAAACTCCGATATAGGAAAGACACATAAAATTTTTATGTTATAAATAACTTGATCATTATTTTACTGGATTAAAAAAAAAACTTGGATGACATGCTTTGATTCTTTTATTGTAAATATGTAATTTATTACTAGTACTTGTAATAGATGTTACTAATCAGGGTTTGTTTGTTTTTAACTATAGCAGGGAGAAGAGAGCTAGGTGGTATTGAAATTCATTAACACACAAAGAAAAGCTATATTATATGTCTTACTGAGAGACATATGTTAACTATACAGTCTAACTTCATTTTCTTGGTAGTAAACTGAGAATTCATATATTGCTTTTTCATCCTGATAGCTAAAATTTGTTTTAAAAAACTGTAGCTTTAAAACAAACTTGCACCTGTTTATTATTATATCAGTATTAGCTCTGATAACTCTGTTAAGTATGGTTTACATGTTTTATACATTATCTTTCATTGTTACCTGAATTGAATTTAGAAGAGAGTTCCATATTAAATTTCAGTTAGGGAGGAAATGTTCAAAACTGTTTATGTCTAAGAAAGTTTTCAAGTCTAACCTCTGTGTGGGACCAGACCATTTATTCTTAGGCAGAAGGCAGCAGCAGAACCTCATACTTCATGCCATGATTTGACACTTTTATTCTCTACTCATTCACTCTCATAGGCTTTTTCCAACTCTCCTTCACATCACTCTCACTCTTTCATCACAAACACGCATATACTCATACAGGATTTTACAGGGTATATATTTTTAATCAGTTAATTTTTAGATTTTTTAACCACTCCTTGAAGTAATTGGAGACATCATAGGGATAAAACTACTAGAAAAAATCAGATATATGTCTGTCTCTAACTGCCATGATATCTCTGTGCCCTGTTGAATAAGTCCTTTGATCTTTCTTTACATGTCTTCTTATTCACAAATAAAGGTCATTATTCTATCATGCTTCTTAGTTCTTAGGGATGCCCCTAGGGTTCATTGAATTAAAACCATATATAAAGTCCATAGTTACTTGGTTTAAAAAAAAGCTAAAAATTAAAAAGACAGGCTTATTCTGAAACGTTCTGAAGACATAAATGTGATTATTCTTTTAAAAGAACATTATCTCATTGTGGTTTTGATTTACATTTCTCTAATAATGAGTGATGTTGAGCATCTTTTCATGTGTTTGTTAGCCATCTGTATGTCTTCTTTGGAGAAATGTCTGTTTAGTTCTTTGGCCCATTTTTTGATTGGGTCATTTATTTTTTCTGGAATTGAGCTGCAGGAGCTGCTTGTATACTTTTGAGATGAATCCTTTGTCTGTTGCTTCGTTTGCTATTATTTTCTCCCATTCTGAGGGCTGTCTTTTCACCTTGCTTATAGTTTCCTTTGTTGTGCAAAAGCTTTTAATTTTAATTAGGTCCCATTTATTTATTTTTGCTTTTATTTCCAATATTCTGGGAGGTCATAGAGGATCCTGCTGTGATTTATGTCAGAGAGTGTTTTGCCTATGTTCTCCTCTAGGAGTTTTATAGTTTCTGGTCTTACATTTAGATCTTTAATCCATTTTGAGTTTATTTTTGTGTATGGTGTTAGAAGGTGTTCTAGTTTCATTCTTTTACAAGTGGTTGACCAGTTTTCCCAGCACCACTTGTTAAAGAGGTTGTCTTTTTTCCATTGTATATCCTTGCCTCCTTTGTCAAAGATAGGTGTCTATAGGTACATGGATTTATCTCTGGGCTTTCTATTCTGTTCCATTGATCTATATTTCTGTCTTTGTGTCAGTACCATACTGTCTTGATGATGGCTGCTATCCAAAAGTCTACAAGCAATAAATACTAGAGAGGGTGTGGAGAAAAGGGAACCCTCCTACACTGTTGGTGAGAATGCAAACTAATACAGCCGCTATGGAGAACAGTGTGGAGATTCCTTAAAAAACTGGAAATAGAACTGCCTTATGACCCAACAATACCTCTCCTGGGCATACACACCAAGGAAACTAGATCTGAAAGAGACATGTGCACCCCAATGTTCATCGCAGCACTGTTTATAATTGCCAGGACATGGAAGCAACCTAGATGCCCATCAGCAGACAAATGGATAAGGAAGCTGTGGTACATATACACCATGGAATATTACTCAGCCATTAAAAAGAATGCATTTGAATCAGTTCTAATGAGATGGGTGAAACTGGAGCCCATTATACAGAGTGAAGTAAGCCAGAAAGATAAAGACCAATACAGTATACTAACACATATATATGGAATTTAAAAAGATGGTAACGATAACCCAATATGCAAAACAGAAAAAGAGACACACATGTACAGAACAGACTTTGGGACTCTGTGGGAGAAGGTGAGGTTGGGATGTTCTGAGAGAATAGCACTGAAACAAGTATACTATCAAGGGTGAAACAGACCACCAGCCCAGGTTGGATGCATGAGACAAGTGCTCAGGGCTGGTGAACTGGGAAGACCCAGAGGGATGTGATGGGGAGGGAGGTGGGAAGGGGTATCGGGATGGGGAACACATGTAAATTCATGGCTGATTCATGTCAATGTATGGCAAAAACCACTACAATATTGTAAAGTAATTAGCCTCCAACTAATAAAAATAAATGAAAAATAAATAAAGAACATTATCTTCTTGCATTTCTCTTATTTAACATTTTAATTAATTATAACATTAAGTGGAGCTTACCTATAGTAAATCTAGATTAATTTATCAAAAGACAGCACTGTGACATGATTTCAACTCTGGTAGTTTTTAATATATGTAGTGTGAGTGTGAATATATGTATTATAAAGAAAAGTTTGAGAGAATATAATTATAATTAAAATATGTAATTTCCAGGATGGTTAGTGATTTAAATTATCTTCTTTTAAAAATGCATTTATATCTTCTACAATTACCTGTATTATTTGTGTGATTACAACCATTTTAAATCAGTATTGCTTAATTACTATCAGTTAACTTTTTTTACCCATTTTATTCTAGCACATGTTCATCTCACAGAAATAAATAACATGAAAATGTCCATTTCAGAATGGGGAAACACAGAGCAAGAATTATGAAATTAATTTATGCATTGAAAGTAACCTAGCACATCTTCCTCTGATGATGCCCTTTAATATTTGATTATTGATTATTCTAATTTTTGAAAATGTTCTTTACAGCTACAAGATCGTACTCAGTTCAGTGACCAAGACTTAGCCACTCTTAAGAAGTACTGGGATAATGGCATGACCAGCCTTGGCTCTGTTTGTCGAGAAAAAATTGAAGCAGTTGCAACGGAATTAAATGTTGACTGTGAAATAGTTCGGGTAAGGGATTTTCAATAATTTTCATGTTGTAGTTGATGAGTGTCATATTAAAAATTTCATCATTTGTGTTTCTCTAATAACTAGTGATGTTGAACATCTTTTCATGTGCTTTTCTGGCTACCTGCATGTCTTCATTGGAGAAATAGCTACTTATAACATGTGTCCAGTTTTTGATTGGGTCTTTTTTTTTTTTTTTTTTGAGATATTGAGATACATGAGAGGTTTGTACATTTTGGAGATGAATCCTTTGTCAGGTGCTTTGTTTGAAAATATTTTCTCCCATTCTGAGGTTTGTCTTTTCATGTTGTTTATAGTTTCCTTTGCTGTGCAAAAGCACTTAAGTTTAATTAGGTGCCATTTGTTTATTTTGGTTTTTATTTTCATTACTCTAGGAGGTAGATTGATAAAAAGCTTGCTGTGATTTATGTCAGAGTATTCTGCTTATGTTTTTTTCCAAGAGTTTTAGAGTATCCATCCTTAAATTTAGGTCTTTAATCCATTGAATTTATTTTTGTGTGTGGTTTCTGACTCTTTGCAACCCCAGACAGTCCATGGAATTCTCCAGGCCAGAATACTGCAGTGGGTAAACTTTCCATTCTCCAGGAGATCTCCAACACCACAGTTCAAAAGCATCAATTCTTCAGCCCTCAGCTTTCTTTATAGTCTAACTATCACTGGACTGGTTGGATCTCCTTGCAGTCCAAGGGACACTCACGAGTCTTCTCCAACACCACAGTTCAAAAACATCAATTCTTCGGTGGTCAGCTTTCTTTATAGTCCAAGTCTTACATCAGTGTTCTAATTTCACTCCTTAATATGCAACTGCCGCTTTCCCAGCACCTAGGTCTCCCACATAGCAGGCAGATTCTTTACCAGCTGAGTCACCAGGGAAGCCCATGTGGTATTAGTTCAGTTCAGTTCAGTTCTGTTGCTTGGTCATGTCCGACTCTCTGCAACCCCATGGACATCAGGCCTCTCTGTCCATCACCAACTTCTGGAGTTTACTCAAACTCATGTCTATTGAGTCGGTGATACCATCCAACCATCTCATCCTCTGTTGTCCACTTCTCTTCCCTCCTTCAATCTTTCCCAGCATGACGGTCTTTTCCAGTGAGTCAGTTCTTTGCATCAGGTGGCCAAAGTATTGGAGGTTCAGCTTCAGCATCAGACCTTCCAATGAATATTCAGGATTGATTTCCTTTAGGATGGTTTGATCTCCTTTCAGTCCAATGGACTCTTAAGAGTCTTCAGAAGAAATGCTAACAGCTGGCTCTTGTGTGCAAGTAAATGTAGTCTTCAGCTCACACTGAAGGATCATTCCAGAAAATCAAGAGGTAACTACTATTAAAGGAAAAAAATAATACAGAACTCTTCCAGAGGAGGAAATATTTTCTCATACATATATACATGAATAAAGAGGGAGAAATATAGGGGAAAATCAGAGCATATTGCTAAAAATATATAATATTCTCAAAATAAATACTGTCATGCTCAGACCTTTGCTTTTTATTTTTTTAGGATTCAGATGAGAAGTCAAATGAAATCCTGTATTTACTGAGCATGCTGCTGCTGTTTAATCACGAAGTTGTGTCTGACTCTTTGAGATTTCATGGACAGAGCATGCTATGTGTTATACATATGAACTGGGAAATAGAAATACATTAGACACCCAATTTCTAAGGAGCTTGAAGTCTAGCAAAAGAGATAACAAAAGAATATAGGTGGCTGAAGAGAAATTGGATTGGGACCATGGTATGTGGAGCCTAAGTGAATGCCACAATTATGGAAAAACAGAGAAGGTGTTTTTATTGTCATTGTTTTTAATTAAAATTATATACACCCATAGCTTAAGGAGTTAAGTTCTGTAGAACTTGCTACAAAACCAACAATCTTTACTTCTCCCCTTCTACCATTTTGTGGCAGCCAGAATCAATTATTTCCACCCTTTAGATGATTCCTTTGGTATTTACTTCTATCTGTGAATAATTCTTTATTAACTAGAATTACATTTTGCTGTGAATAACAAAAAGACTCAAAATAAATAGGCATTTATTTTAAAATATTTTAAACAAGATATTTCAAGTCCATGTACACATCTAGATCTGGCATGGCAGTTCTGCCCTGTGAAGTCCTCAGAGATTCTGATGCCTTCCATCTTCCATTCTGCTATCCCTATGACGTAGCTCTTGTCCTCAAGGTCCAAAATCATGACATTTATGGTTCAGGTAGCATGACAGAGGTGAGGAGAAAGAAGGGACAAAAGTGTGTACCAGCTATCTTTTAGAAGGGATTCCCAGAAACTGCTACAACGTTCACTTAAATCCCATTGGCTAAAGATGAGTCACATGGTCATATCTAACTGCAAGGAAAACAGCAAATGTAGTTACATTATGGAAATCCATGTGCCCAACTAAACTTTCTATTATATTGGATGAGGGATAAATATATTGGAGAACACCTAGCAGTTTCTTCTGTTTATATCACTGTTTCTTGATTTTTTTCAGTGTTAGGCATTGCTGATTGATATTTTACTATGAAATGCAAGGTATTCTAACTCTTTCAAGATCTCTTCATTGATCCTTTTCACCTAAATGCATATTTCTTCTCTTCTTACTCTCACATTATAATTACTTCATAATTTTAGTTGGTTTGATATTCAGTGTTAACATTATTATGACTATGTAAATGCTTTACCATTTGTCTTATGTAGTATAATATTTTTGTCCTTTTCTGCATAGTATTATTTTGTTTCCTTGAAGTCTATTATTTAATTATTTTTTGGTTTTTGTATATTTGCTTGCTTAATTTTCTAGGTACTGACTACTAATTTATCCTGATACCCTTCCCCACTTGTACATATCTCCTTTCACTATATTCATACACATTTGGTAGTGTAACAATTTTATCATCTTAAAGAAATTTTTCCTGGAATCTTCCAATATGCTCCAACTTGAATTGATTACTCTGCACCTGGAGCACAACTGTTACCCTGAGATTTCCATTTTCAATCTGTTCGTTCTTTTGTTATACTTTCAATAAGGTATCTTCAAATTTATCTTCCAAATTTTCCACTGAGTTTTTTGTTGTTGTTGTTATTGTTGTTGTTCTTATTCAATCTATCACTGATACTAATAAACTCCATGTACCATGAAAGCAGCTTTCGGACTCCTTGGATTGTCATACTGGTTCCTTGAGACCCCATACTCCAGGAGAGGAAACACAGAGACAGAATATTACTGAAAACATACTCTCCTGAAATGAAAGATAACCACAGGATTCCTAGCTAGGATTTTATTTGATACAAAAGAGTTTTAGGCATAATTGATGTTAAAAATGGCCAAAGCCATTGACTGTGCAGAAACCTTTATCCCTATAGAAAACGTTAACAGAGAGAAAAAGGAAGAAGTATTACTATTCTCTTCTTGTCTGTGGCCAGTTAAAACTTATATCAAGAGGGAGGGAACATATGTACACCTATGGCTGATTCATGTTGATGTTTGACAGAAAACGACAAAATTCTGTAAAGCAATTATCCTTCAATTAAAAAAGAAAAACTTCTATTAGGGGAAAGAACAGTGAACTGCTTACTATCCTTTTGTTTTTAGGGATCTTTCAAAATGCAGCATGCTCATGGAAGAAAGAAACTGAAAAGATGATGTGTTTTAAGAGAACTGTTTTTTATTATTAGGTAGATAAACTGCAGACAATAATATGTTTGCCAGATAAATATATTCCTGAGATATTGGGAGAAACTATGTAGATGTTTTTAAGTCTAATAGACATTATAATTATTGATCACCAAAATGAACTTTGCCTCAGGATATCTAGTTAACCATTACTTGTGGAATAATGTGAAAATTTTGGATTCACGTTTTCTTGTAATAGCTTATAATTCTAAAAATTCTAAAAAAAAAAAATTCTAGGAAGCAAACGGCACATTTTCCTTCTAACTTCATTGACTGTTACTATGTGCATATATTTCTTTAATTTGGAGTGTTTCCCAGGTTAGAGTCGATTATTCATTGACTTACTCACTCACCAAAGGTAAACCGAACACTTATTATATGCCCGAACTCTTCTAGATGCCATGAGAAAAACACAGCTCTCCTTAGGAATTTGCAAATTAGCATGATCAAAATGTTGTCTCTGTGCTTCAGTTCACAGTAAATGGACTTAATATAATAAAGGGTTGTTTTGAGATAGTAATAATATATGTGGATAATAAGTGTAAAGCACCATAAGTGAAGTTGCTCAGTCATGTCCAACTCTTTGCGACCCCGTGGACTGTAGCCCACCAGGCTCCTCCATCCATGGGATTCTCCAGGCAAGAATACTGGAGTGGGTTGCCGTTTCCTTCTCCAGGGGATCTTCCCGACCCAGGGATTGAACCCAGGTCTCCCGCATTGCAGGCAGACACAGGCAGATGCTTTAACCTCTGAGCCACTAGGGAAGCCCCAAAGCACGATAAGTCTTTCATAAATTTAGTTCCCTGACCTATCTTCCTTAAATTCAGTTTAATGCCTTGCCTTTCCATCTATGTTTGGGTTATAGTGGAGAGATGTCAAAATGAACTCTTGTGTGTTAAATATTTGCATAAATAATATGTTTCAATGTTTTAAATGCATTTTGAAAGACAGGTAAATTTCATGGAAAATAGATGCATTTTTTAAAATTTTATATTATATTTATTTTCCAAAGATCATGACTAGATTTGACATCTTTAAACAGAAGACTGCTTTTCACTTATACTGTTTTTACCCTACTTTTTTTTCATTAAATATATGACCCTCTGCCACTAATGTATATATAAAACAAATTGTCCATGTTTGACTATATACCATATATAGTATACTACATACCATGGACATTGAATTAAAGCTGCTAGGAATCTTGAGATTGAATATCATGCTCTTATTTTATATAAGAAAAGTGTGGTTAGATAGGGGTATAGCTTGGTGAAGGACACACAGCCAGTTGTTTATTGGATGCCAGATTTTCTT